ATTTATATTATCAATAGATCAGAAGGTTTTTAACAAGTTCATGTAGTTGTTATTTGTATGTATGTATTCACTCATTTTATCAAGTGCCCAAGGGAAAAAATTATCTGCACTTATGCCTAAAGTGCCTCCAGGAATCTCTCAAAGAAAGAAAGAGCTCTGCCTTTTATGATTTTGTTGAATTGTATGCAACCAAGATTGGAATGCTGACACATTAAATACTGAATGCCTATGAAAAGAAACTGACTATTTTTCCTGTTTTTGAACTTTCTTCATACATGGGTATTGTTGAATGATCTTGATTCATTCAAGAACTTTGGACTTGGACTTTTTAAGGGTTATGCTCTTGATTTTTCTTCTCATTCAGCTTGGATTCAGAGTTTTTGGCCACAACATCAACTGATGGTTCTGCAAGAATATGGAATACAAACGATGGTGCTCCAATAACAACTTTGGCTCGAAATTCAGTATGCTATATTCTATCGTAGAGTTCTGCATGTGATTTCCCCCTCATTTGAGGTTGTCAGTTCACAACTTTCTGTTGCAGGATGAAAAAATTGAACTTTGTCGATTTTCCAAAGATGGGACGAAGCCTTTCTTATTTTGCACTGTTCAAAGAGGTATTGCACACGATTTTTATAAGACGTAGTCGACTTTGTAATTATATCCTCTTGAAAGCTTGTACAGTTGAACTTGAAATATGATTATGTCTATCATTCAGGAAATAAATCGCTTACTGGTGTTTGGGACATAAGTTCATGGAAAAAAATTGGACACAAGAGGCTACTTAAAAAGCCAGCTTCAATAATGTCGATGAGTCGGGATGGAAAGTATCTTGCTCAGTAAGTGCATGGCCTCCTCCTGAAATTTCATTTTTGTAAGAATTATTTTGTTGAGAAAGCAAATAGCTCCTGAAGTTTCTTTGTGGGAGTACATTAATCTGAAATAAACTGAACTAAGTTTGCACGGGATGGAGAAAAATTAAGCAACACTGATTCAGGACTTATGATGGTAGGCTTAGTTACAATTAGAATATATCTTATATGTAATGTTTACTAGCTTGGACTACTGTGTGCGCTTAAAGATTAATGAACAGTTCAGTGTTAAACTAATTGCATGTACTACTTGATTAGATACTATTTTCTGGTTAATATTATTCTGGCACGTCTAGAGGTTTATGATAGGAGACACACTAAGCTCTATGGACTGAGTATGACCATCCATTATTAAAATGATTTGATGAATTTGAGCTCCTTTTATTAATTTTTTTTTCTTAAGCTTTGCTCCCAGTGGTCAATAGTTTGTTTTTAGGGGGTGATTCTTACAAATGATTCCTGACTATCTTTTAACACAGGGGGAGCAAGGATGGGGATGTATGTGTAGTAGAAGTGAAAAGAATGGAGGTTCGTCACTGGAGCAGGAGGCTTCACCTGGGTTCTAATATTGCATCTTTGGAGTTTTGCCCTAGTGAAAGGTAAGATTTGAAATGCAATACTTCTATCTTTTCTGTAATTTGGGGCTTGAAGCTAGAATTCACATACGAAACTTTGAACTACTAAAATCACTGGAAACATGCACGTTTTCTGCTGAGAGACAAATGATGAAATTTTTTAAAAATGCAGAATGCTATACAATAGTCCTATGAGGCATGATATTTGGGCAAGCTAATGTTATTACTTGTTAAGTGCTTGTTTGAGAGAAATTTTAAGTTTTTGAAATTATAAATTCATAGAAATGAGTGGTGAATAAGTGGTTAGTAGTTGTGGTCTTATGAAATATATGATTAAAATTAAGTCTCCGTTTGGCAATGTTTATAAATTACTCATAAAAGGTCAAATTTCATTTTCAACCACTTTTCAATGAACCCACAAGTACTATCCGCCACCCATTTCTATTTGTTTATAAATTCTTCCCAAATGAGAGCTAAAGTTTGACTTTGACCTTTAATTTATAATTTCACTTGGTGCTTGCTTGATAAAAATTTGCTAAAATTTTTTCAACTTTTCAACTTTTGATAATTGGAACACAATGATGAATTTGGCAAATCTGTGCAAATAATAATTTGGTTTGATAACAATTTTTTTTTTAATGAAATTTACATCCTTGTATAATGTGAAGTTATTTTTCCGAAGGACTATGAAAAATCTTCAAAAATGAACTGAATAATGTCTTTCATATATCAAATAAAGCTACATTGCAAAAGCAATGTGATCCCAATTGAAGAGGTCAGCAGAGGAAGAAGTAGACCAAAAATAGAACGACTTGATATGGTTGTAAAGAATTTAATGGCATTATATATATTGATGGATTTAGCAATTTATATAACGGTCAATGGATGCATAAGTAATCTACTTCTTTGAAAGTCACATCTATCTTATTGTCAAATTAAGTAACGCCTTTTAATTTATATGTAGAATTGAAATAAACTGTTCGAACATGTTTGGAACAAAAATTTACTTCAAATTAAATTTGAGTTTATTTTAAGCTTATTAGCCAAACTCGTTCCCTTACATTATTTGCAGGGTAATTATTACCAGTTCCACTGAATGGGGAGCAATGGTGACTAAACTAAGTGTTCCTGCTGATTGGAAAGGTCTCTCCTCTCTCAAATCCCCCAACCCCTCAAGATTCTGAAACTCGGGCTAATTTTTGTTTTCTTCTTGAATGCAGAGTGGCAAATATATGTACTACTCTTGGGACTATTTTTGGCATCACTCCTTATATTTTATGTATTTTTCGAAAATTCCGATTCATTCTGGAAGTTCCCAAAGGATCAACCCTTGAGATCAAACATTGAAACCATTTTGGGGGATCCACAGTCTGATGAGCAAAATATGTGGGGAGCGTTTGGGCCACTTGATCTGTAGTATTTTCTCAGTTTTTCCTCTGTAGAAGTCAAGGGTAGTACTGCCATACTGGAACAAGAAAGTGAAACAATAATAATAATATTCCTTAGGTGCTTTGAGACTCTTTTTTAATTATATGCCAGCATTTTTTCCACTATTATTTTCCATGGCTTCTCATCCCTAGTTGTATTGGCCTGAGTAAAATCATGTGGTACTGCAGAAATTGAATTTTTCTCCAACTGATATTTGATTTAAAGTGAAGTAAATGCTTCAAATGTGCTATACTTCATATGAATGATGAACAAAAGATTTGTCTTGTGCAACCCTTAGTGGATGATAAATTAATACTTAATACTCACGCAATGAGAAAGTCTTTAGCTTCTTTTTTTGTTTTTAAATATTATTCCAATACTTTATATGAAAAACGTGCTTGAGCATTACTTGTGTATTGTAGTGGATTTTAGTTGGTAATCAATTAAACTTCTATGATGTGCTTTGATAATCTAGTTTCTGAGTGTTCTTTTGATCAAGGAAGCTCAACTCCTTGAAAGTACAGTGGAAGGCGAAAACTATTGGGATGTGTTGGACTCAACAAGGTTGAACATATCACACGAAGCAATATTTACTCGTGAATGGACAATGAACGATATTTGTTATGCAAGTTTCTTTTTCTTGTTCAATACGGATGTCTTGCAATCTTTCTTTTTTCACTTTTATCCTCTCAAAATATACCATACTTCCTCAAATTTACGGAAAAATTCCATCTAAGAATTTGTGGAAAAGTGAAAGTAACCAAGACACTAATGAATTTGTTGGAGAAAACACTTGAGCCAAATTGCTTTGAATAATGTTTTTTATTATTAAGGCGATGGAATATCGGTGATATGACAATCTATGTGAAATAATGAGATTTGGTAGTTTTGAAGAGGGAGGGGGGGAGGGGGGAATGTGAGGGATAATGAACTATCAAATCATCGATATTCCATCATTATGATGATAAATAGCATTACTCGATTTCTTATACTCATGTCAACAAGTAAAACTCCCTTAAATTATTTTATAATAGCCATGCTTTGGTTCACAACCATCATTTGGATGAGGTGCCAATAACCTATTTCATCTAATTATTAATCTACAATGTACACACTATCTAATTTGTAATTTGAAGCAGTTAGAATTGTCCGACTCAACATGTGAAAAGTTTCGATTTCTACAATCAAGCCATGTCAGATTTGACTGTAGAGGTCTATGAAGTCACATATGAGCCAAAGGCTAATTTAGCCGAGGCCACCTCAAAATTCGGTCATGGTGATCCAATTTGTATAGTTGCTTAACTTGAATTAGATGATGTTTGGTGGGGATTAAAATTAAATTTTTAGTAGATTGTGATATAAGTTCTTGAAATGTGTGATAGAAAAGTTGTTGGATCCATGAAAGATATGATTAATATTAATTGTTTGACTTTTATTTGGATTAAAATTAGATTTTAATTCGGACCAAACGGGGTATTTTTCTACTCTAGTATGGGTATGCTGCTATACTGTGTATTCAATAAGTTGAAAACTAAATATGTCTGGAAATCGTTTATAAATAAATTAAATTATAATATAATATAATGTTTCGTGGATTCTTCTAAATGAGAAAATAAAAAATGGTACGAGCATTTATAAACAATTTATAAACATGAATGAACATTGACTAAATGGATCCAAAAAATTTATACACGTGATGATTGTGTAGGAACTACTCAAATCTTTTAAAACTACTCGAGTTTGTAGACTTCGTGCGAATTCAATTGATGAAGTGACAAAAAGAAATGAGAGGATTTTTAATTTTTTAATTGGTTGGTGAAGTTTTTATTCGATTATATCTCGCCACATCATCTATTGATAAATCAATTTGTAAGTGTTAGGTGCACGTGCCACAATCTTATTGTTAATTTGATATTTTGATGGTGGAAAATTATCTATATTTATTTAAATTAGTTTTTTAGAATCTCCCAAAAGGTTATCCCTTTTTGTTCGATTCAATCACATAAGAACCTGAAAATTATCAATCAGAAACTGCCTCTGGACTCTCTCTCTCCCTCCCTCTCACACACACAGAGTACCGGATTCGCTTCTCACTCGGCTTCATTGCACGGCTCTGCTTTTTCAAATGAATTGCCTTCCAAATCTTCCAAGGTTTGTGCTAATCTACGTGCTTATTGATTCTGTATTGAGTCAATCATTTCATATTTGTGAATATTTTGTGTTTCAGATCCTCTGCATTGCGTCTGCAGAGCTTCAAAAACCATGCCAGAAGTCGTCAATGTCCTGTCACTATACTGGTAAGAGGATTAAAATCTAGCGAACAATTAAAATTCAAAATATTGAATTTACATTTCTATATGGATGTTAATATGTGCTAATTAATTTGCTATTTGGAGGGGTGTTCATTTGTATAATAATGTTTTTATGATTGTGATTCAGGGTGTGGAGAGAGGTATTGATTTATCACAGACACAAGTTAATGTTTTAAAGGTAAGATTTGAAAGGGAGTTTTTTTAAAAAAATATATATATACTGAACGATTCTTTAGTCAATTCTGTTACTCATTCAATATGTTTTCACTTTTTAAGCTAGCTAAATAAATAATTACAGGTTGACCTGCAATTTCAACTGATTTTGAATTATATAATCAATTGACATGATTTTTTTTCCTTTTTTCCTTTTTTTTTTGGTTGGGGCGGGGGGTTGGTTATGGAGCACTGAAACTACTCTTCATATAGCAAAAAATCCGTCAATATTTCTATGTATTCATTAATTTTCTAATTGTTTCACACAATTTTTTAGGCAGTATCTGGTTCTGCATCCAGCACTGAAAATGAAACTGAGGAAATGGAGAAATCTGAAACATACAGTCATGACATGACTGCCGCTATGGGAGCCGGTGAGTGAAGCATTTACTTGATACCACTACTCGATAGCTTAGGAAAAAGTAGCATTTATAAGAAGATTCATGCAGCTCGTTTTTTTTCCCTGCCTTCTCTGATCCATATTGAAGAAATTTTCTTCATGTGCCTAGATTATGATTATGTTATTTTAGGTGTGTAATATAATTTGGCTAATCTTTTCGTTAACATTGTATTTCTACATAGTCTTAACCTATAGGCATGAACTTGGGATGAACTACAACTTCATTCTTCCAGACCTGATTGTAGGATCATGCCTTCAGGTAATAAGCATTTCCCCTCTAGGTGCAAAAGATGATATATTTTCTTAAGTTATCTTCTGATTTGTGCCTCACTTCACATATGACAGAGTCCAGAGGATGTTGACAAGCTTCGCAGCATTGGAGTGAAAACTATCTTTTGCTTACAGCAAGATTCGGATCTTGAGTATCCAAAAAAATTGATATAGATTTATTGAATGGGATTATTCTGCTAAAGTTATAGTTGTTAACTATTGGGATGGATTCCTGCATCCCTTCTAGAATTTTAAGGTTTTTGTTCAAGTCCTTAAACACAGTTCTTAAGATATTTTAGCGTTGATATCAGTGCCATCCGTGAATATGCCAACAGCTGCAGTGACATTCAACATTTACGTGCTGAAATAAGGTTGGTAATGGAATTAAATGCACAGGGATTGGTTTTGAGATGATAAGCTTCAAACTTGAAATCTTTCACTAGTATGTAAGCAAGCATGTTTTAGTGATCTTAACTCAAAAGTGACATTATATCTCTGTATGCAAGGGCGGATTTAGCATAGGGGCAGTGGGGTCGACTACCCTGCGATTTCAAAATTTTAGTTTTGTTCTAAGAAAAATCTAAATTTTATAGTTTTGGCCCCACAGCAAATAAATACTATAACTTCAAATAAAAAAAAAGTGCCACTGGCCTGGCGCTAAAGCTTCCTACTTGTCATTGAGTAGATTTAGTTTCAAATTTCAGCTGCCTTATTGTTTTTTCCTTTTTATGTTTCTTTTGAGAAGTTTGTGCAATTAGATAATTATTCCCCAACCTTTAGCATCTCTAGGAAATTCATCCCAACACTTTTCAATCTCTAATCTTTAGTTTAATTTGCATATTTTATCTTTTTACATAATTTCATAAACTTCAGCTTAAAGTACTCACGCTTCAAAAGGGTAAATTTCGCAACACACTAATTTTAACATCTAGACCTTAAAGTTTTCTTCATTTTCTATTTCAAAGTCAAAAAAAAAAGGGAAAAAAAGACAATACCCTTTCTTTCTTTCTTTTTTATTTATTTATTTATTTTACGTACAAATCTCGTAAAAATATGGTTAAGTTTTTCAAATGTTTTACTTAACTCGGCAATGTTTTTTCTTCACTTACTTTTCAGAAATAGATTTTGTATATTTTGATTACTTTTAAAAAATAAAAAAGTTTTCAAATCAAATTATTGATTTTAATTAATTTCCTCAAATGCCGATATTTCTACCTGCTATTGTGGCTCGCTGACTACTATAGGCACTGCAAGCTACTATAGTTTTGCTGGCACATAGCATCGTTAGCCGCTGCAGTGCTTCCACAAGCTAAAAATCCTAACTCTGCCTGTCCCTATCTGTATGCATTTTTATCTTGACCTTTTCTTGGATTATATAATGTCATTTCTGTGTGAGTGACCATGATTTTTTTTCCCCTTTGTAATAATGCCCTCCAAGTGACAATTTCTGACTTTGAGGTTGGAATCAGGGAATTATATAAATACATCGACAGCAAATTAAGCCTTGTCGCTAATAAATTTTGAGTAGGTTACATCAAGTCCTTTTCCCTCAACTGTCAATTATTACATGTACCTAATGTTCCAATGCATTCAGATCCTTTACAACTGCTTGCGGAGAGAGATTATGTTTTCTAAAATGTGATGATTTGCATCACTCAACATGGGGTAGTTCAATTAACAATCAAAAGACATTTTTCTTTGTCTGATTTATTTATAAACCCTTTTCTTCTTCCACATATAACCTTGTTCTGCCACCTGTATATCTTTTATGCCAGCATATGTGTATGCACAAAATAAAAAGAAAAGAAGATACACGATTTATCTATATAACACATGTAAAATACTCCAACTATGCATTTATCTTTTTCCAGCAAAAATAATATTTATTTTAATTTCATCATGTACAGTAAACAAACGAAGCTTTATTTATGATATATTTGGATTCGGTTATCCATTCGGTCCATGGTTGTGTCCACTTGGAAGATCTAATACTATCAAATATGTTACAACCACAACAGGACGATAATTTCGTCTACCTCTCTCCCTTATAACATGTTGTACTGCAATGGAATCATTGTATACTTCCATTCCTTATCTTATAGATAGTAATAAAGCAAGAAGCCCATCTTAACATCCTCATTTCTGATACTTTCATCTTGCGCACATTTTGTCATTTAACAACTTTAAATTTCAGTTGGATAAATCATGTCTAATAACTGTTCCATAAAACTTTTAAGTTTAACCTTATAAATATTTGTAGTCTACGAACACGCCTATGTTTTGCTCTTAGCATACACAAAGTGATGCTTGGAAGTGGGAGTTGTCAGTGATTCAGCTGTGCTTAAAAGGGTTATTATGTGAAGGAAAGGAAAAAATTGTGGTCTTGGTTTTTAGTCTACTAGATTGCAGCGTGTGAAGAGAGAGTCAAATATTTACCTGTAGTTGGCTATTTTCTTAGATTTCATGTTCATCTACTTCGGAAAATTTGTATAAGATGCATTCTCCACCACTTAGCCCATAATACGGAAACGTACTGCAGTTTTCCACTTACCATGACATTTATATGTATTTATGAATCAGAGATTTTGACGCATTTGATCTGCGGATGCGCCTTCCAGCAGTCGTAAGCAAATTACACAAAGCCATTAATCAAAATGGGGGCGTAACTTATGTACATTGCACAGCTGGCCTTGGAAGAGCTCCAGCAGTTGCGGTATGCATGACAGGCTTTTAAAATATCTTGTTTTCACTTATCTTAATTATTTTTTTTATATATGTGTATGCATTATTTCATTTTAACTTTTATTTTTTTGATGGGGGTGGATGCGTTCTTCTATAAGTGTTTCGAAACTAAAAGTTTGTCCAGATTCACAATGAAATGTAAACGTTGATTAGGCATGTTAATAGATCTGAACGATATCTGGATTACTGTGAAACAATATTTGGATATGATCAGAACAAAAAGGGTGTGAATAAGAAACTGTTATAGCCTACACTCTGATTATCAAGGTTTGATTCTCTTTACTGGCAAGTTATTTTTTAGATTGTTAATATTTTAGAAAGGAAGGCTAAATGATTAAATTTATCTGCATCGCTTCCCAGATAAGTTAAGGCAGCCTTCCCCTTTGCATGTCTAGGTTGGGGGAAAGGGTTTACAACTGACAAATAATTTGTGAGGGTTGTCACTTGGGCATAGGCAGTGTCAATTGCAATAAGAGCCATTGCCTGTAGAAAGTGGAATAGAATCATAGATATATTAAAGATATGTAATAGGAAGAGGAACAACACTAGACAAACTTTTCTATAAAGAAATTTGAACAATAACTTGGAAAGTGTTTTTATAGTGCAAACTTTATTCTGAAGAACCCCACCCCAAAAAAATGAAGAAAATGAAAATGAAAACATACAACAAAGTTGCTTGAGAAGGTCATCTGGCAGCAGATGCATTGCATGCTTCTCTGTTATAATATTATTTATTACACTTTGATTAGAAATAGTTTGATATATTTTTCATGAAGAACTAACAAGTTTTTGGTTTAAAATACAGTTGGCATATATGTTCTGGGTTCAAGGATATAAGCTCATTGAAGCACACAATCTACTAGTGGTAATATTTCTACTTACTGTTTATGTATGCCTAATCATTCATTTAACTAGTAAGTCTTCATGTAACTGTAGACTTGTGTTTTGACTGTTGCAAATGTTTTGTTTATTTTTCTTTTTTCATCCCAAATCTTTTTTTTTTTTTTTTGGGTGAAGTCTTCCAACCAGAGCTGATGGATTCTTATACTAAAATTGCCAAATTTCCTGGCATTTGGATGAAACTATACTGCTGATTTTTTAAAACTATACATTCTCATATTTTTGTAACAAGGATATCATAAGAGACTAAGATTTTACACATATATTTATTTCTCTCTTTGCAGAGCAAACGCTCCTGCTTTCCGAAGCTAGATGCAATCAAAAGCGCAACTGCAGATATTGTGAGTCGTTGTTTCCCTTGAACATAAATTGATCCCCTATTTAATAATCCAGGACTACAAATTTCACTTAATCACGTCCAAAAGTTGATACATTAGGGGTTGGCTCCATTGAAAATAATTATGATCTAAATCGCTTTAGAAGCCAAGGTCTTGGGATCCATTTGTTCATGCTTCCAAAAACTATGCTCAGAAAATGGCGATTAGGATATTGATTTTGGATGATATTTTTGATTCTATACTATGGTTCATCTTGTATTTTAGTTGCACAGATTTTTTGATTTAAACATAAACTTTACAGTATGACAAATTGAGCCAGTACATTCGAACTCGTCAATCATTACTATGAGAAAACTCAGGCTATTGTTTTATAAAGCTTTTGGCACATTCTAACATGTATTCATCGCCATTTCCTCATTTTCAAGGAATTGGGTTTCCCACCTTTTTGGTGGGAAATCTGATTCCAAGTTTGGTTTTTTTTTTTTGCAATGGAAACAAATTTGTTTTACATGTAAATTGTCCATTAAAGTAATTTTGGTTTTACAATGGAAACAAATTTCATAACCAATTGTAAAAAAAAAATTACTTTAATGGACAATTTACATGTAAAACAAAGTCAAACAAACACTAAATTNACTAAATTTTGATGAAAAAAATGATTTTTTAGGAAACAATTTTTTTTTCAGTTTTTTTTTTACTTTTTGGCGATGGAAACAAATTTTATAATCAATTGTGGAAAAAATTATCATTTTAGTGGACAGTTTCCATATAAAACAAAGCTAAACGAATACAAATTTAAAAAATTTTCGGGTGAAAAATTATACCAATCAAACAGACTCAATTAACAATTTCCTACAAAACAATTTCTAAACAATTACTTTTCCTGGAATTCATTTGCTTTCCAACCATTTTCCACCGTTGCAATCAAACGGACTCTTAAGACTTTACTGGAATTTTAAAGCATTTAAATTTACTAGAAAATTCTAAAGGGAACGGGGCTCTGCAGTTTGTAATCTATTACAAAAACTTCAAAATGATATTATATCTTTAGCAGTTATTTCTGTTGCATTGCTATTTTTCTCTTACTGTCCTAATGCAATTGAGCTGGTCTGTTTTTGAACTACTCTACATGATGTGAGTTACAACACTGTATCTGGAGTACCAAAATAAATTTCAGAGCCTGGCTGTAGCCTTTTTATTGTTTTATCTAGGATTTCACGTAAAACAAAGCTAAACGAACAATAAATTTTGTTTAAAAAATGTTTTTTTTGGAAAAAAATTTCGTTTTTTTTTTTTACTTTTTGGCAATGAAAACAAATTTTATAACCAATTGTGGAAAAAATTATCACTTTAGTGGACAGTTTCCATATAAAACAAAGCTAAACAAATACAAATTTAAAAAAATTTCGGGTGAAAAATTATACCAATCAAACACACTCAATTAACAATTTCCTACAAAACAATTTTTAGGCAATTACTTTTCCTGGAATTCATTTTCTTTCCAACCATTTTCCACCGTTGCAATCAAACAGACTCTTAAGACTTTACTGAAATTTTAAAGCATTTAAATTTACTAGAAAATTCTAAATGGAACGGGGCTCTGCCGTTTGTAATCTATTACAAAAACTTCAAAATGATATTATATCTTTAGCAGTTATTTCTGTTGCATTGCTATTTTTCTCTTACTGTCCTAATGCAATTGAGCTGGTCTGTTTTTGAACTTCTCTACATGATGTGAGTTACAACACTGTATCTGGAGTACCAAAATAAATTTCAGAGCCTGGCTATAGCCTTTTTATTGTTTTATCTAGGCTATGTTATTTCCTATATGCATCAGGATATAGGAAAAATTGTTTTAATATTTTTGAATTAACCTTTCTCCTGTTTAAAGCTTACTGGCCTAAAAAAGAAGCCTGTAACATTGACATGGAATGGCGATGACTGTTCGACAGTGGAAATCTCAGGACTTGATGTTGGATGGGGTCAGGTAATAGTCGAGTTCTCTGGGCATCTAACAACCTGTTTTCTTGAAAGTCTAGCCAATTGAATTGTATTTTTGTTGACCGACAGAAAATTTGTATGGGTAGTTCCTGTAATATCTGACTTCAATGTGACATTATATTTGGCAACACAAAAATATTAAGTGGGTTTGTCTTAGCATGAGACGAATGCACATCAAGATTTATCTACATCAATCGGAAGTCCCAACTGTATGCTAGTTTCCCTATCTAAATCTATTTTCTTCATTTGACTTCAGTTTTCTGTTCACCAGTCTGTGCCCTGAGTATCAATTACCTGAAAGAAGTATTGTGTACTATATTGAGTATTATGTTGAATTCGTAAGTGATGAAACCATCTGACGTGAGCTTCAAGTATCCTTTAATTGCAAATCCGCCTCTCTATTTCTACCACACCCGCAACACGTGTTCTGTTCACAGCAGTTTGATACCTTGTGTAAATGGGAGTTAAATTTCGATGTTCTAGCTTGACACTAGTTTTTGGATGCGTAGAGTACTTAGAAACATTATTGATGTGATTTGCTTATTATAATTCTCTTTACAGCTTCTTCCACGTATTAGCTGATGTAATTTAATAATACAGATGACATTCTGTATAATTTTTCTTATAATTCTTTTCAGAGAATACCTTTGAAGTATGATGAGGAACAAGGTATATGGATTCTCCATAGAGATTTGCCTGTAAGTATACTGAAATTCTTATTAGTACTTGTGTACTATAAGTCACTTCTATACTATATTGTTTGTTCATATTGAGAGTGAATCTAATGACTTTCGAGGTGATCTTTTTTATCCTTTTCAAGGTAGCAATAGCATTATTGGATCAAAATATGTACCCATATTAGAAAAACATGATACCATATTTAGCTACCTGCCTTCCAATTTATGCACTTTCGTAATCATAGCTTTTGGTTTATTAAATTTGATATCGATCATTGCAAAGTCATTGTTGATTTACCATCACTAGATCGCAATACATATGCTTGGTCTTCGATAATTGTTAGACTCGCTTTTTTGTGGAATATACTTCTCTTCAATGCGAAGGTTTTGAATTAGGTTCATAGGAAAGAAGTGTAACTTTGTCAATCTTGTTGCAATTAAAACATTGGCTTTTTTCCTTAAACAGGAAGGACACTATGACTACAAGTACATTATTGATGATGAATGGATGTGCAATAAGTACGAGCTCGTCACTAGCCCCAACAAAGATGGACATGTCAACAATTATGTTAAGGTGTCGTTTCGCCTAATATTCTTCAGTTCTTATTCCAAAGAAATGCATTTAATGCTGCTATTAGGGCCTCATCCTGCATAAGTAATTGCTACTTGACCTTTCTTTGAAGGCTTTATTTAAGAGCCTTAAGGAATGAAGTTCCTTTTCAGCCATAATCAAAACTAATCAGTAAGTTGAAGCACAAGATCTGCTGAGGAACATTAATAGGAAAACTAATGAACGTGGGCATAATCTAAGCTTTGGTGAAGATTTACTTGAACCACCCTCTACATTTATTTTCAAACCATGCTGCTTTTGGCCCTTTTTATTTTTTTTTCAAAACCGCATTAAACTATTTGACAAATTGTGTCTGGCATATCAATTTCACTCTTTGTATGCAGGTGTTTGACAGTGATCCCAGTAGCATTGATGCTGCAATTTGGAATAGGCTAACTGGTGACGACCCTGATCTTACAACCAATGAACGTAGCATAATCATACAATTTCTTGAAGCCTGTCCCGATGAGGACTAATTTTATCGGCATAAGAGTTACTAGTTATACATGTAAAGTAGTATACAAATTGTTACTTCCCAATAATCACCTGTATCGATGCACGGAATGCAATAATACACGTTTTGCTTATAAATGAAAGCATAATACTTTTAATGGACGGCAAAATGATGTTATACATCCCTCAGTTGTGGTCCTTTTCATTTTTGTCATCGATGGTACCATAACAATTGACATGTCTGTGTGAATTTTGATGTGATACTTCGCCCTGCTTAACAGTTTAAGAGGTAGCTTAGAAGTTACTTTTTTCCTGAAATGTAGGGACATGTGTTTCATAGAAGTTGCTTTTAAGCTTAGCCAAGAAACTCGTATATATATTTTTTTTCTTTATGGTATTGTTGAAGTTTCCAGAGTCGTAGCATATAAAGATTGAACTGTTTCGTCACCATAGCTTCGCATCAAGAGTTTTGGCAGCAAGTGCATTTTGAATATGTAAATAAATTGTGACAATAAAAGAAAGTACGACAGTCTAAAATCATTGATAATTAATGAGTTTAGCGTGGGTCCAACTGAACACACAAATTATTATTATTTTGAAAAAAAAAATTTTTAAATAATAATAATTCAGTAGAATAATCTAAACATATTAGTATTTAATTTTAACATTGATCTAATCCTTAATTAAAAAGTAACGAGTTGTTGTGGTTTATTCCATTTGGCGATACAGTAAAGAAGAGTGATGATACTTCACTATTTGCTTGCCTGCTTTTTGCAGCATCCGCTTTGATTTTTGTTCCATATGTCAAATGCCTGTAAAGTGCATTTAATAAATCTAGTGTGTGATTATTCATCAAGCTTCCAACACCAGTCAAAGGACTAATTGGCTTATTTTAAGAAAAGTTCAAATTTTAGATCGAATAGATGTAGATTTTTAAAAAATCAAAATTCATTTTTTACTCATTTTGAGTAACATTAAACTGGACTGTCCAAGTTGTTCAATCATAGAGAATTGTGCTCATTTCTTCCCAACATTGTCTTCGTCGTCCTCTTTACATCTCGACTTTTTCTACTTTTAAATTTTTGATTGGTCTTCATTATTCTTTCTTTCTTGGATAAGTTTCATCTTTCTTTGGGATTGGATCTGGATAACATGAATGGAAACTGAAAAAAGGTAAGAAAATGAGAAAAAAAAAGTTTTGTATTGTGAAGCAAGCTTAACTTGGCATTAGGAATAAAGATGGTGATTATATCAAGAAATCTTCAGCTAATTGTCTGGAAAGACAAAAACATAAGAATTAATTACAATTTCCGAGGTGAATATAATTAATAGAATGATGCTAAGGCAATCATTGCACATGATTCGATGCTGTGGAAATTGGATTTACATTAAATTCACCGCCATTGATTAAAAAAGTGATTTCCATATTTTATAACTTATAAGAAAATTGTAACCGATTGTTCAATTGGTTAGGCATTTGGTTTGCTCCTCAATGGTCACCAATTCGAGTCCCCTCAGGGTCACTGAGGTGAGTACCCGGGCCGTAAATTTTAGGGTCCCGTATGATTAGTCGAGAATCGAGATGCGCACAAATTGACCCGTACATCCACGGTTATTAAAAAAAAAAAAAAAACTTATAAGAAAATCGTATTGGTTGGCAATAATTTATAAGAACCAGATTTTTTGAATTACAAGAAAAATTAAATATAAAGTTTATTTTTTAAGACGCTTGCTTAAAGATAGTTAATAATCACCATGAAAAGTTTTCATCGATAATAATTTATAAGTAGAAGTTCGATTTTTGCACACCGTTGTGTTAAAAACACATGTTTTGAGGGTGACTTATTTATAAAAAAAAATAAGCATTAAACGTTACACAATTTGTCTAGTGTACTTTTTGATATTCTCTAGATGCGACGTGCTGTGACGTGCACTGATGACGATGTCAATTAGGCATTAGATCCATCATCAAAGTTAGTTGACGTCCCTAGGATGATAAAAACATGGCTTACGAGTGTCCATACAAAGCACGTAAGTCTCAAATCCACTACAGATACATGGGATGGAACATGTCAAAATGTGTAGCTTATATTGATATAATTTAAATTAAGTCATGTAAATCTTATATTTTCAAAAATGTCATTATTTAGGATTCGAAACTTACGATAAATTTCACACTAATCATACTTTTCCTTTGCATTGGGGTGTTCTAGGATTTTTAAAGATGGACGTAATAAGATTTTCTTTCAAATCACATCTTGTAGTAAAAAAGTTATGTGGTGTCATCTCGCTTTTTCTCCTGTGAAAGATGCTTTTAGTTTATTATTTTATGAATTTATTCCTATCAAATTATCAATTTAATTTATATTTTATCATAATCTTGTCTTTTTGTGATTTAAGTAAATTAATCTTTCACCTAAATTGAAATATTTCCCCAAAATTGTGCGGAAGTATAGAGAGCAAGGCTATAAGAATAATTGCAAGAGGAAAATTCTTCGAAGAAAGGCTTCGTTTGGATAGGGGAAAAAGGATTCTTGTATTCGTTACTTGTATTTCAATCGATTTTGGAATACTATTGGCTACTTAGATTAATCGACTTTAAATAGAAAAAGGGTAATTTATAAAAAGGTTATTAAGTGCATGTTTGCTAGGTGATTACATAAAATTCAAATGTATCCCTGAGTCTCGAGGATTGTGTGGATAATAAGTGAGTAGTAATTGTAAGACATACGAAATGTATAAATAAAAATTACGTTTGATCAAAAGTGCATAAGTTCACCGTAGGAAAGCTTTTTCAAAACCTCACCAAAAAATAATTTATTCTGGACGTTGTTGCAATGACTAGATCAGACCAACTAGTTCGGTTGGAAGAATCTTGATCTAGTTACAAGTTGAAAATTGAAAAATTAGACCTCGTTAAACCTAAAAACTTGCCATGGTTCAGCTCCAAAATCGATCAATTCACCTCAAACTAGAATTTTCGTCCAATTTAACTTTATTTTTTTAAGGTCAACACTCGCATCGTCTTTTAAAATAATGGTTCTAGAATGTGGTTGCACCGAATAGAAATGCCCCACAAGGTGAAAATGGCAAATAAAGGGAAACAAAAAGATGAATATTTAGGAGTTGAATGGTGGTGCTGATGTTGTGCAAGAGTGAGAATGAAGCATATGGAGTAGGGAACATAGAACAACATTTCACGTGGAAAGATTCAATGGATTGCATTTGGTAAAACCAACCAATCAACCAACCAAATAAACATCACCCCTATTATTATATTTATAATTCATTCATTAAGATCTGGTAGATAGATAGGTGTATTCAAGGCTCTACTTTGGTATCCTATGCACCATTACAACAAATTATTTCATGCTTCTATGCCAACTAATTTGATAGATAAAAGCGAACTTCCATATTTCGGGTAGGATCGATTGAACTACTACCTTGAAATTTAGGTGTACAACATACAATTTCAACGAGAAAAGTTGAGGTTGGTGAGGAATCAGAATATGTAATTTTGGTTGAAGTCGAGCACGAAGCAAGCGTGAAAGGTTTCACGTTATAAATGTAGCTAGTTTGCGATGAATATGTAGTTGGACCCTAAGCACACTAGCCGTTTGTCGCACTTGCGAGAAATAGAATAATAATTCAAAACGCGCAAAATTTTCGAAAACAATTTTTGTCCCTTTCTTACTCTAATCAAATTTGATTTGAACAACCATGTAGTTAGCTATCTTTGGTTCTAGACTTACAATTTCTTTCATAATTTCATGTTCGATTTTTAATAAACTGGTAAGACTATATACTTCGTAATTTCGAAAAAAGAAGTGAAGATGATGGGTGGTGGGAGGTGGTGGGTGTCCATTTAGTTATTGTTTTTTGGCTTTTTGCCCGTTAACGTAAGTTGTAAACTTCCACATGACAAATCCCAAAAGTGAAAATCATGGCTTTTATGCTCCCTTCACTGTCTTGTCTATTCAGAATCTTTAATTTCTAATATTTTCCTATTAATTAAGTTATTAACCACATTAGTTATTTAATTAATTAGGGTGCAGGGGTTAATTTCATGAATTTACAGCACATTATCACTTTCTAAAAATGTCAAAGAGAATTAGGAAAATTTATATAAATGTTAGCATGATTTCTAGATTTATTTATAGTCATTTAACTATAATTTTGGTATTTTATAATTATGCATGAGCTAAATCATAATTTTAAAAGTATAAGTGACAAGATTTAACTTTTTGGTCCCTTAATACAATTGAAGAAAATAAATATAAAAGGTTTTCAATTTCCTTGGGAAACAATCAGCCACGTCGAGCAGTGTCGACATTAAAAGTCGCTTTGGAGTCGGGAATCAGGGCCCTAGACTTAGCCGTTGCATATTTCTGAAACGTTGTTACTTATAAGTCATTGTGAAACATGTTCGAAAGTGTTTTTGAAGTGAGGAGAAAATGTGCTTCACAGCTAATTTGATAACTAGCAGAAAAACGTTAGCTAGTTAGATTATAGGTTAGACATGACATAAAAATCGTATCTTCCTATAAACACTTTGTGTACATATATCATACAATTCCCTATTTGTTACAAGACATATCTAAATTCTATTTATTTTAATCATGTCCATAAAAAATGTTTTCAACAAGAGGAAAAAAAATAAAAATGGATGAAGCCACAAACTTGTGCTAACCAGGAAATGACATACAAGAAAAGGCCAAATATTTGTGATTTAAGGTAACTAAAAAAAGTGGAGTGAGTTGCAGAAAAATGTGTAAACAGTTCATGATATAGACATGTTACAAAGTGTAAGAATAAAGAAATACCAACCACCTTTCCATCTCTCAATTACCTTCCAATGCACGCCACCACCCCCACCCCCTTTCTCCTCTCATCTTGTACACTGAGGGTTGATTTCAACACTGGTCACTCAAGTTTGTAAAAATTTCAAAATGGTCATTCAAGTATTTTCCTTACAGTAGTGTTCACACGAGTTTCTACTCGGCCAAAAACCTCAACTAGAAAATCTTGCTTGCACCATTAAACAGCGATGTGGACACAAATTGCGTTAACTAATACGTCGCGTCAGATGTTTAAAGTCGTATTTATATAATATGTTTTTAGGTCTGAACGTTTTGCCCAATATGTTGGTATTTAAAGGTGCTGCGTAAGATTTTTGATTAACGTTTCTAGTCAAGTGATCATAAGTGTAATAATTAGAAACTTGAGTAATGAACTGTGTAAGAGAAATACTTCAATAACCATTTTGAAATTTTTAACAAACTTGAGTGACTGTTGTTGAAATTAAACCGTTCATCGAAGTAAAACTCATACCTTTTCCTCATCTATATATTGAAGCAAAACTCACACCTTCGCCTCTTCCATTTCCTGTCCACAACCACAACCACAACCACTCCACCCACCCCCACCCCACCAAGAAACAATGTCTACAGATCTTAAATTCAGACAAGAATTGCTCGAAATCAGATTACCAACTATAAAGATCAACTCTTCACAATCGTCTGATGATCAAAATTGCCCAAAGCAAACCTCAATCAATGATCAAGATTGCCACACACCAAAGTCTCCACAACACATGATTCCCAAGATCCTCAGCTGCCCACCAGCCCCGAAAAAACCGACCCGGGTGCCCTCATGCAAGAGAAAATTATCCGAATTGCAATTCTTCGAAGTGGTTTCGAGAGAAGAGGTGGAATCATTCTTCAGAATTGCTGAGGCCCAAATCAATGGCGCCACAAAGAAAAGATGCTTCGTGTAAATCAGAAAAAGAATTTAATTACACGGTGGGGTTTTATATATGGTTTGAACTGCAAGATCAGGTATATGTAATTACACGTTTGTCTTTAATTGTGAAAATTATGATTTTAGATTCAGAAAATTTGTTCCTGAAAATTCAGACTAAAACTTCGATCTGAATTATATATAGATTCAAAAAATTCATGCTTTTTTTTAATCTATTAAACCTGTTTATTTTCTTTAGTTAAACATAAATTTTAGCATCCTTCTTTCTTTTTTTTTCATATTGTCTAAAAAAAATGCTTTGAAAATGGTGTGAAAGGAGGGAAATTTGAAGGCAAAACGTCGGATTAATATGGAGTTTATTATTATTATTTATTTGTTTGTTTGTGAGAGAAATTAGTTGTAAGTATGATGGTTGATCTGTATAACGTTTGACATTAGTTTACTTTCTTTTGAGTAACTGACACGGCTTTGGGATTGATAAATAAACAAAATTATTTATTTTCTTAACTATTTTTAAACTTTTTTGATTATGAACCCTCTATTAATTTTCACATCTATAGAGACCGTTTTCATCCAAAATGTTTGTTACGAGGGCTAAAAAGACATATTTATCTCTCGCATTTTTAAATAACCGAAACAAATAACTAATACAAAAGTGACTTACACGTTAGCTGAATATTTGGATGAAAATCTGATTAGAGACAAAATATATTAATTAATTTAAGGTTAAGAATAATAATGCGACGAGAAAAAAGCTAAGGAAATACGAACAAGAGTGAGCAAATATTGATAATCTTTCTTGTAATTAAAATAAGGGTATGTTATGTCACGGACACACGCTACTATACGAGATGAATTTTCAATTTTTTATTTAATAGTGAGCGAATATTTATTTATTTTTATTATATTGAGCCACATTATTTTGGAAGAATGTATTCTGAAATAGTAGATTGATGGAGAATTTGTGGTTGAAAAATAAGGAAAAGTTATTGATGTGATGAAAAATATTATTTTATCGAAAAATGTATGGTTGAAAATGAGTAGAAGAATGAAAATGAAAATTTTAACGTGTATCAAACAGGGGTATATCTTTTTCATATATCATATATTACATTTTCCTATATGCCAATAATGTATTCAAAATTAAAAAATGAGTAGAAGAATGAATATGAAAATTTTAACGTGTATCAAACAGGTGTATATCTTTTTCATATATCATATATTACATTTTCCTATATGCCAATAATGTATTCAAAATTAAATGTTGAGGGCATCTTTCAATTTTAGAAATTAAACTAAAAGACATACATATTTCTTTCTTTCTTTCATTCTTTTTATCGAATCTTTGACCTATTGGATCAGTCACGACTCGCTTTGCAGCTTCGTATAAGATTGAACATAATTGAAGAATTAACATACCAAACATATGTTTTTAAATCACTTAGATGTATTAGAAGATCCACAGAGGTCGATGGCTAATTTATTTTGAAAAGTCAACTTAGCTTCACTTTGACGAGTCCAAGGAAGCTTTAGCTAATGAATTGTAAAAGTGGATTAGCTAACATTAATTAAATTATTCCAAGGAATCATAACTAAGAAGCCTTTATACAAGAGCTTAGGTCTTAAGCCACGTATAGTATTCTTCATTTCCACGGAACGAACCAAACTCTGAGCAACCAATTGTACTTCAACAAATCTTTGATGTGTGTGTGAATCTATACATATTACTGAATGAGTCAATAATATTCAAAAAAATATACGTAGAATAAAAGGTCTGTACGCTGAAATACACTCTCGAGTGCGAGAACAATGGAATTATTGTTTACGTATTATATACTTATTCAATTTCTCAAATTTTTGAAATATAACAAATATTTTTACCCTCTTCTTTTTTTTTCTTGTTTACTTAATTTTCACTTTGGTGTGGGGTTCGTTTTCCTAATTGAAGAAATAATTGGAAAATATAATAGCAATTAAAAAAAAAAATGTAAGAATCCCAATAGAGACGTAAGATTCAATCCAACATTTTGCTATGGAGAATAAGGAGTGGTGGGTGCCCACTAACCAAGAATACACGTACCATAATTGCTACCAACAATCACATGATTAGGAACAAATTCAAAAGCAACAACTTGATTGTTTGACCATGCAAACCATGCTTATCTTGAATAATCTTTCTCAGCTTGCATAATTAAACCAATAAAAAAAAAATTACGGTTGTCTTTTGAATGTGATAATATTTTTGATACGTTCAATTAAATAAAACTGGATGAACGGTACGATCCAATTTGATCGTCGAACCTTACTTCTTCGACACCATTAACGTCGATTAGTTGCCTAATTAAGGAAATCTACGTATGAACAGACACAAACTGAGAAAAAGGAAAGAAAAATCTCAAGAAGTGACAAAATAAAAACACAGTAATTTGTACCTTTTGTATTGTGAAGACAGACAGTTGTGCCACCCCATAAAGATACGTTCTTACACTACAAAAACATTACATATATTTGCTATATTAATTATCATTTGGAAATGCGGATTTTAATTCCAATGTCGTACGGGTGTATATGTCATTAATCTTACATTTGAATGTATTCTGAAGAGCAATATGAACATCAGGACATACGATTTTGAATTAATCTACTTGTACAATGATGATTGACAATGTTTGTTGACAATGTTAGATGTGGCAAAATCTGGACAATTGATTTAAAAACAGATTTTGAATTTTTTTGAAATGAGTGAATGTGATGATGCCAAGTCGTGATTGTCAACAAATATTGTCAACTATCGTTGTACGTGGAGTATGATTGTACTATTTTTGTATTAATTGTTACAATGGCAATATAATGAAGGCCCCAGAATATAATATATCATCCATATCTCGTTAAATTATCACTGTTCGGCCACAATCTTGCAACTCACTTTTTCTTCAAACTCTTTCTTAACAATACATTTTATGATATCCACAACATTTATTAGAAATCTTTAATTACATTTTATTAGAAATCTGATTTTTAACAAAATCATACATGGACTGAAAAATGTTATTAGATTGCGATATGTGTGCGATTGCTGTGAAATGTTTGCCAATCAATTACTCAAGACTGTGATTTGAGAGCAAACAAAAAATTTAGAATTTGTTAAATTTATGTTTGATATGTTACATTGAATAACATCATACGTTGTAACGAAAAATACAATTTTTTTCCCTTCATTACTACATTCCAATACTATCTAGTCCTCCATAACGACCATACTATGTATGAGATGTGTCAAGTTTAAAGCAATCAAACAACTAAAGATAGTTGAGACTAGGTTAAAAAGGACGTAACTGGGTGTGAAAATTTTCGCTCGAGTCAATAACGAGGGTCAAAATACAAAATATTGATTGAAATTATATATTTGAAAAGGTTCTTCTTGTCCTCATTTCCCGTTGCCCTACTCAGTGGCGCGGCCGCCCATGCTGAATCAGTCTAAATTTACAGGCGCGGCCGCCCCATGACACATTGCAGTTGCAGGGAAGAAGCAAAACGGGGAAGAAGATAGTGTTCTTAGGCCATTTTTTCATGAAAAATGATATTCATCCCTAGTGGGGATGCATCCCTAGTCTATGTGGATGTAAATGATAGGTGAAATTAGATGACTTATTTAATTTCGCATATCATTTAATGGCACATTAACGCCACATAGACTGGGGATGAATAGCATTTCTCTTTTTTCATAATTTCTTTAGTTGGGCTTTTTCAAATAAAACAATCGGCCCATTATGAATTGTAAAGGAACAGAATTTAATAGCCCATTAGCCCATAGACCATATCAATTGTCTGATTCATACGATTCATCTCACATTTTCAGAAAAAAAAAAAACATAGAGCCAAAGTTCTAACTCCTAGCTCCCGCTCTCCTGCAGCCACACGCAACCCCGACTCACTCCGTTGTGTGGCATGCCGGCCTTGCCCATAATCCAGAGGCTTGTACGAGAAATTGCCCCTGACAAGCATAGAGCCCTGGGGTATTTTGGTGCTCACTGCAGCAGTGAGCGACTGCAAGACTCTTTCTTAACAATACATTTTATGGTATCCACAACATTTATTAGAAATCTTTAATTACATTTTATTAGAAATCTGATTTTTAACAAAATCAAATATGGACTGAAAAATGTTATTAGATTGCGATATGTGTGCGATTGCTGTGAAATGTTTGCCAATCAATTACTCAAGACTGTGATTTGATAGCAAACAAAAAATTTAGAATTTGTTAAATTTATGTTTGATATGTTGCATTGAATAACATCATACGTTGTAACGAAAAATACAATTTTTTTTTTCCCTTCATTACTGCGTTCCAATACTATCTAGTCCTCCATAACGACCATACTATGTATGAGATGTGTCAAGTTTAAAGCAATCAAACAACTAAAGATAGTTGAGACTAGGTTAAAAGGACGTAACTGGGTGTGAAAATTTTCGCTCGAGTCAATAACGAGGGTCAAAATACAAAATATTGATTGAAATTATATATTTGAAAAGGTTCTTCTTGTCCTCATTTCCCGTTGCCATACTCAGTGGCGCGGCCGCCCATGCTGGATTAGTCTAAATTTACAGGCGCGGCCGTCCAAACTCAGTTGCAGACACATTGCAGTTGCAGGGAAGAAGCAAAAAGGGGAAGAAGATAGTGTTCTTAGGCCATTTTTTCATATTTTCTTTAGTTGGGTTTTTTCAAATAAAACAATCGACCCATTATGAATTGTAAAGGAACAAAATTTAATAGCCCATTAGCCCATAGACCATATCAATTGTCTGATTCATACGATTCATCTCACATTTTCAAGAAAAAAAAAACATAGAGCCAAAGTTCTACCTCCTGGCTCCCGCTCTCCTGCAGCCACACGCAACCCCGACTCACTCCGTCGTGTGGCATGCCGGCCTTGCCCATAATCCAGAGGCTTGTACGAGAAATTGCCACTGACAAAAACAGAGACATAGGGTATTTTGGTGCTCACTGCAGCAGTCGCCTTGTGTTGTACACACATGACATGTAATTTTTGATACATTAATGTGGTAGTTTTAGAACTCGAAGTTAAAGTGATATATTGATCATTTGATTGGAGATTTATAACATGAATTGTGATTATTTATGATTTATGAAGATTGGGGAATTTGTGAAAACGTGAGTAACTTAAAATGATGGTTGAGTAATTTAATTTAATAATTTAACAATTAATAGTTAATATAGTATCATAAATTATAAGGTTGGCCTATATACATTATTTGGGATCATTGGTTTTAACAACCTCATTAGTATCAGAAATATTAATGAATAACTGCAGTATTACGGCGATTGACCGTTGACAGTTAACGACCTCCCTAACTAACCTCCAATCCTGGATTCGCCACTAGCCCTACTATTTATTTTAGCTTAGCTTCCATAGTTTAGGGGATTAATTAACTGGTATCCTCAAAAATGGAACCATAATCGTTCCTAAGATCAACTTCTATGACCATAGACTGTGGTTATGTTCCTTTGGCATTAAACATTTTTCATTTAGAATTAATCTATTTGTACCTTCATTGTATACATCTTGGATGAAATTTCAATGTGTCCAAATCGAGACCATTAATTATTTGAAGTATTGGACAAATCAATGGCAAAATTGTGTGACATACGATAAAATGTAAAGCAGAATGTATGCGTAGCAACGTTGAAGCATTTATTACCACATATTCCCTAGGATCCACAACTTATAATCACTTACCAAACATGCACATGCTCTAATTGCTTCACCGAACACAACTTTTAAAAAAAAAAAGGGTTCCTAGTCCAATAAAATGGCAAACAGAATATTATACACATTCCAACCCATATACTGATCCATAACAAGAAAGAAATTAAACAGGTAAACAAACAAAGAAATAGGCCAAAGCACAATCACCAATCAATTATCGTCAAGAAAAACTCAACTCAATAGAATCTAGTCTCAAAGTTTTATCAAGGATTCAAGAACAGTCGAGCAGATACTATATCTAATCAGTAATAACATATTCTATTCATGTGGAGTTGGAGTTGGACTGTTGGAGTCTGAGTGGGAGCCAGGGGCCGAAGCCGGAGCCCTTGACTGGTTGAGTTGCATAGATTTATTCACCATATGGGCCATATTGGGAGTTGTGTATGCACTAAAACTAGCATTATTTGCATCTGAAGCAGCTAAATTAGTAGGGACAGCACTAGCAGAGCTCGAGTTTCTCTGTGCTTCTGCTCCGGGCACTACACTCCCTCTAGTTGTGGCTCTTTGATAAGCATGTGAGCTCATTCCTGAGAGTGCATAAGCTCGCCCTGCTAGGTTATACAACTCACGACTTCCCATTCTTCGTTCAGTTTCTTTAAGCTCGGATTCAAGCCAGTTACTGAGACCATCCCCTGCTTGGGCAGACATTGAAGCACGAATTCTTGTTCTCCTTGTCGTCAGTACATCCCGCGCATCACTTAGATTTCCAGTCTCTGCAATCCTTTGAGCCTCTGCAATACCTTCTGCTGCCGACAGGCGATTTCTCTGTCGATCCACTTCCAAGTTAACTGTGGTTTCTGCAGGGGACACAACTTTCGGTCGACGTATTTCGACTAGGTCACCTTCTACACGGACTATCTCTTTTGACACAACATCTCTATAAGAACACACTATATCTAAAAGCGATGTCTTTCCCTCATTTTCTTCATCTACAGCAACTCGAAGTACTGGAACTGACAAGTTGACCAGAAATTCTTTTTCCTCTTCTGCATACAAGTCCCCAACATTGATTACTGCTTGACATCCTTGATCAGAGATCTCACTTCCATATCTTCCGGAAGGAATTGATATGATTTCCACACTATTTGATGCTGATCTCACAGTTATTTGCATTTCTTGAACCATCACACTTAGAAGACCACCTATACAGCTTGCAAAAGCATCTTGCACCATTTCGTAAGACTCGATGAAGGAGAAGGTGCCACCTGATTCATCAGAAATGGCATGCATAGCAACAGGATCATGATCTGTACCAAAACCGAATGTGTGGACTGGAAATGTTTGATGTTGGCTTCCATCTTGGCTTCCCCTGTTTCTAGGACAGATGGAACCAGGCAAAAGATGTAGATATTCGGGATTTTGTCCTGGATTTGAGGAATTTTGAAACATTGACCTATGGTAACAAGTATCCTTCCCATCAGATAAGAATATGATGCTAGCAACTGGATTCCATTGATGCCTTTCTTCAAGGACCCGAACCCCCTTCTTCAGGCCTTCCACAATATTAGTCAAACCACAAGCTTGAAGTGAATCAACAGCCCTTTTAGCATCTTCACGGCCATTTCCAGTCATTCTACGCAAGGGAAAGATTCTCTGAGCAGCAGACGAGAAAGAAACTATCGAAAGTCGGTCAGACGGGCCCAAGTTATCTATGACAAAGAGAACAGCACGCTTCAGAAGACGCAACTTTGATCCGTACATGCTACCACTAACATCTAGTACAGTAACAAGGTCAATAGGTGCACGCTCAAGGTGACGTGCATTATCTGAAAATGGAGGTGCACGTACTCCAACAAGAACAGCAAATGGAGAGATGGATTCTGAAGCCGCAATCACGGGCCGCTCGGGAATGGACTTTATATTGACACTTTGAAGACCAGTAAGTGAAGCAGAAGATGTAGGATCATCTGTGATTGTGGGTAAGGGTTCATCATCAGAGAAAACTAGGGACTCGCGCTCAGATGGAGGGGGTGGCAGCACCTGTTGTTGAGAAACATTGGAGAAGGAAGTAGGGATTTGTGGGAGAGGAATGTTAGCGTCGAAGTTGGGCATAGTGAAAGGGAGACAATTCCATTTGGCACGGCAAATAGGGCAATTGTAATTGCCATGTGAGACACTGTTGCCAATGCAGCTGAAGTGGAAGGAATGGGAGCACTCGGCTGTAAAGATGGCTTGCCCTTTTGTCACATTACCCAAGCAAATAGCACATGTACTCTGCCATGAAAATAAAATTTTAAAAGCACGCAACTTACAACTTCAGAAATTATTTTTACCCGTGCGACTCATATAGGGAAACTCATAACAACAAAAGCTTAAATATGTAACAGTACATAAGATTGAAAGAAAAATATTATGCAGAAAGACAGAAAGAACCTGAAAATACACAAAGTGTTCTGCTCAAGCCATGTTACCAATCACAACTGAGATCGATGGGTGATTTTTTTCTGTTCATTAACTAAAGAAGGCAAAAGTTTAATCTAACCAAATAAAACAAAAATCGGTTTAATCTCTATACAATTGATTATAATATTTCATATAGTTGGATATTATTATTAAATTCCATTTTTTGCTTCGAAAGATTGCCGATATTCTATCTATGAAAAAGGATAAGGATACTACAATTCATCCACTAACCCTACTGATCCAGGGCAGATTGAAAAAACTAGGGATATTTGGACTATCAAAAAACACGTTTTGGGGCGAGCTGATTATGGACTATAATGACCATTACTTCAACACGAGACTATTTCTTAAGCAGTCCAGCACTGGTTTTATCGCGCGTACAACAGTAAACTCTTCGCATGAAATTCAACCTTTCCATCTAAAGAATATTTCCTTCACCAGAAAATTCACCCCCTCTGTGAAATGCGGATCTACGAGACAGGCATTACATAGAATTCCAAACATTGATTAATAAAATCTACTAATAAAAATTAGAATTAAGCTAGTTGTACACCATGACACCCTTTGACGTGTCAAAATCGAGACCATTGATTTGAATAAGTATTGTTAAAATCAACGGTAAATTTGTGTGGGGTAAACAAAGCTGTCAACCATGACACAAGTGTAGTAAAACTGTAAAATTTATAATCCACTCTAAACTGCAACCATTTAAGCAATCAATTAAAATTGTAACATTTTTTGAAATTTCAAAAAATAAATCACTGAATGTTATATTGAACCCTGGTTACCCAGTAAAGCAAAATTTCTTCTCTAATACACGAAACCAAGTCAATAAGTATCAACTTCTTTAACACCAAGACAGAAAGCCTAAATTAAAGTCTTAAAACTTTGAATTCTGATAGAAACAACCAATTCTTGAGGAGTAAACGAATTTTCTTGTCAAGTCAACCCATTTACCCGATTATCATAATGGTTAAAGCACCCAACGCGTGATCGGCGAATTCAAAGAAAATCAAGAACACGATCATTCCTATTTTACATAAATATATGCATTCGTACATATATACACACTCAGGGATGAAAGAAGAAAGGGAAGAAAACTTACATTTTCTGTTGAAGAACTCATGGTTTCTTGTGTTGGAGTGGTGCTGAGGAGGATGTGGGTTTCGGAATATGAATATACAGCATCAATGGGATGGACCCACTAATTTGCCTACGTGTTCCTCTCTTGTTAAGTTTGGGCGTTGTCATTGGATTCATTGTCTGGCGTGTCGCGTTTAAAGAACGCCTTGGTTATGTTGACTTTCTTTGTAACGTTGCAATTGCTGGATTGACTTATTGGAAACCAGAGTGGGAAATTAAACCAGCAATGATTCATTCTATGCTTGCTTACCATGAGTTCCTCATCCCGTACTTTCAATATTCCTCTTCGTTTCTTGATTTTAAAATCGAGTCGATCCAATTGTCCATAGTACAAGTTCAATTTCCTTCGGTAGGTACCGTGCAAGGACACCGTAAGAATGGTCAGATGATTGTTTATACTTCGATGTATTTCTATTATTCTGATATATTTTTATACGTCAATCAAGGACGATGAATATGAATTAATTAGTTTAGGTGAATTAATGATAAATTAATAGGAGGATTGTAATTTATCTTATTTTAATTATATCAAAATAATGATTCACGTCGTCCAACATCGTGATCAGAAATCTAGCCCTTGTTTGACATAAAATTTTTTTTTTTTGGAAATAATGAGTTTTTGAATAGTAAATTTTGAGAAAATGTGTAATGAAAAAATTTTGGATTTACTTGAAGAATATTTTATTATGAAAATATGCAGTTGGAAAAGTGTATATGAGAGAATAGTTGTCAAACAAGTACATAATTGGTCATATAAAAAAGATTAGAACACGATGAATGAAATTAAGAATTAATTAAATGATAAATGTATGATATTTATGAAATTAATTAATTTGGACGATTTATTAATAGGCCAAGATTAATTAATAAGCAGGCTAAAGCCTATTTATCCATTTGTACCTCCATGATGCCTTCTGCAGGCTATAGCCTATTTATCTGCCAATCTAATTCAAAGAGAACTACTTTACTTGAGGGAGACACAACTTTTGGTCTATGTATTTCAACTAGATCACCTTCTACTCGAACTATCTCTAAGCAATATCTCTATAAGTACACGCTATATCAACAATCGACATATTTCCCTCACTACCTTCATCTTCAACACCTTTATGTACAAGGACGAACTAGTTGAGCATAAATTCTTTTTCCTCATTCGCGTAAAGGTCTCCAACATTAACTACACCTCAATGCCTTGATCAGAGATTGATCGAAAATCAACCTTCAATTCCTACCATGCAACATTCTCTAATTTCATTTCTAGAAAAATATATGTTATAATTAACTCTTGAATTGCAATTATGTACTAGTATTGAACCGAAATTGAGAACAATAAAGGAAATTTTTGAATGTCCTATCAATCTACGAGATGAGAATAAAATCACATATCTAAAAGTTCAATCTTATCAACTAAAAAGAGTTTGAATTTCGTTGGTTGGAGTATTCATCTTCAACTGAAATGACATTTTGTTCACACCACTATTTTTATTTCTTTTACCATATTTTAATTATATTCAAGGTTCTCAGTCTTTACTCATTATAACATTTATGTTTCTAATGAAATTTCATGACATTCATATACTCAAAAACTTTTTATTAGTTAATACATTTTGTAGTTGATAGCAATTTATGTTTAAAAATTTTGTTGAAATGGAGTATGACAACTTATTTTTCATCATTTTTTAAAAAAAAAATAAAAAATAAAAAGTACGAAAAAATAAATGAAAACAAAATATTTTAACACAAATCATCATCAAGGACAAGATGCACTAATTAATGGAATGTTGAAGATAAGAATTCAACGAAAAAAATGAAGGAAATAATTGTTACAACGAACAAAGATTGAGGCTCATAACACTAATGCAAAATGCATTTTTTACTAAAAAAAAAATGGGGCTCAAACAAATCCTAGAAATGTTAACTTTTTGGATGGTTTTTATATTTTTGGCTGCACAAAAATATTTCATGGTTTTTAGTATATGTTTTTTTGTTGTTAATGTAGATTATAAATACTTTTGGTAAATATCATATATATTTTTGTTAAAATTAGTTATCAAAGTTGTCAATATTTTATTGATGTTAATGTAGATTATAGATCAAATATGAAAAGAATACAAACAAAACTCAGGCATTGCAACCAGTCTTAAAACATTCCCTTGTAACGTATTGTAAAATTATTTTGTTGTATGAAAATGATACTTGGAACAACATTTTTAAATTTTCAAGACAAATCACGTCAATTTTACAAGTTCAATGGTTAAAATTCGACCAATTTAAAGTATAATGAGTTATCAAATATGTTTCTAAAAGTATAGTGAGCAATCAAAAACCTTTTTAAAAGTATAATGAGCAATCGAAGACGTCTTTCAAAATAAAGTGAGCAATTAAAGACAACTTTTCTTATGTGATAATTTGGTGTGCCATGAGTTTCATCACCTTTGCATTCCGTCTGTCATGTCATCAATTTTGTTAGATTTGAGTAGTGAATGTCATGTCGTAAGTAAGGTCCAACATTTTGATAAGTTTAGTGGTTAAAACTGACGTCTAAAATTTCAATGAGCAATTCAGTAATTATTTGGACAATTAACACAAAAAATGCAGTATATTACTATTTAAAAAATTATTAAGAAAAAATATTACAGAGTCTAAGCCTACATCTATGTTCATAAACAATCGAGTCACTTTTTATTCTCACGATTCACTTAAGAGATTCACAATCCACTACTCATTTTTATATATTTATAACCTAAATCATTTATAAACGCTTTCAAATTTTACATATAAGATTGAATGGAATGTCGTCGAAGAGAAAGTCTTTCATGAACTCGTCATGACGAATTCACACGAGAGTATAGTAATGTTAAAAATATTCAGCAATATTTTAAATTTATGACGATTTCAAATACTTGAGCGTAAGTAACAATACTTAAAACAATTTAAAGTTGACCAATGTTCTAATGTAACAATTTCAAGAAATCACACTAATTAATAGTATATTTGGCTAAGTTTAAAAGTTACCTTATTAAGATGATTTAAATAATCTTTTTAATAAGATAACCTCTAAAATGAAATATGTCATATTAATAAATTTCCCATTTATTCATGATATAGGCATAGGTGACAATAAATTGTATACTAGTTTCTTTTCTTTTCAGCAGTCATGACTTGTAATTCTCAACAAAATGCTCCATCCATGAAAACTATGCGGAACCAAATACCTTGAAATATGGTTTATTTTATGTCATCTAGTTTGCAAAATACACCAACGCTTACTCACCCATCCACGGTCCACCCCATGACAAGTTAATTTATAAATAGAGATGGGCATCTGATAACTACGAGAGAGAGAGAGAGAGAGAATGGTTTTCAGTGAGAAACAAGAAAGTTTAGTGAAGGAGTCATGGGAAGTGATGAAGCAAAATGTTCCTGAGCTCAGCCTTCGTTTGTTCACGTTGTAAGTATATAGAGAAAGCCCACATTCATGTATGTACACAGAGATTCATTTCACCGTGCACCTTAATGAAATGGCCTTATTAAGAATTTTTATTGTTATTTATAATGGAATGGAATGGATGCAGGATTATGGAGGATGCCCCGGAAGCGAAGAACATGTTCTCGTTTCTGCAAAACACAGATGAAATCCCTCAGAATAATCCCAAACTGAGGGCTCATGCTGTTAAGGTTTTCAAGACGGTAATTAATTTATTTATCTACTGAATTTTGGTCTCCATGGAACACAATTATTGATGACCTCCCTCTCTATGTTGACTCAAGGGAGTTTTGGGTCAAACTAACAATTAGGGATGACAAAAAAGTTAGTCGATTCGGGCTCGACCAGGAAAAAGTCCGAGCCGGGCCACCTCGTAGCTCAGTTCCACTGAGCCCCATTTTGGGGCGTTGGCTCAAGCCCGGGGGGGCGTGTGGCTCGTCGGTGTCACTGGCCGAGCCCGTTAATAATTAAAAAAAAATCGAAACAACAGGGAAAAAAATAATAAAATGTTGTAGCTGCCGGGCAGCTATCTTTGAAAAAATAAAATAAAATACCCGAGTCGGTCTGGCTTGGCCCTCTAAAGCTCGGGTCGAGCCGGAATTTTTTGGCCGAGCTTGGGTGAAAAAAAGCTCGAACCCTTTTGGCTCGAGCCTAGCCCGAGCTTCGTGGCTCGGCTCATTGATATGGCTACTAACAATTAGAAAGGGCTCGAGAGATTTGTTGGGCCATCCGAATAATAAAAGCAAAGTCATTCAAGTTTAGAGATAAGTCCTAAATCTTTTTTGGACAATAGGATAGTAATTTGAGAAAATTACCTAAAACCCTGCAATTAAAAATCAGTTTTCATAAACAAGGAGATTAAGTTTAAAATTCAGATTTCAGGTGGTAAATAAAATTATTAATTATAATTATTAAAAATTTAAATCTACATATTCATCAACCCACCCCCGATTTATCCCAAATTGATTCATCTCATCTCCATCCATCCTCTTCCTCTCTCCTCATTTTCCACCGACAGCCACCATGGAGCAGCGCCGTTGGGATCGAGCCATCGCAACCACAACCGCAACGATTTGGCCACAGGCTGGTGAGTTCACTGCAAACCCACCACCCCAATGCCCCGACGTCAAATGTGCAAACACCATTTCCCGTGTTGATGAACGGAGGAGCATCGCCTAGCTTCATCGCTACAGCGACGAGATGCTGCTAGCAGCGTCGTCGCTCTCGCCGCTGCTTGCTTCACTATTAGGGCTGGGGTGGAATATAATATTCAATTTTTAATTTTTGAAAACATTTTGTGATGATTCAGAAAAGAATCTGACTCTGCTGGGACTCTATTGCCTCTGAACTCCAGAAGCGGAGCTCCGACCCTACCTTAACTCTATTGTTCAGGTCGTTA